AAATAATCATCAGATTTAGTAATGATATGACAATTGTTTAGCATTTTATCACTGATTTTACATGAATTGCAATCAATTGTTTGATTGATTGAAAAATAATCATTATTTTCGCATTCAATCGCTTCACACAAAACACTATTATTTGTATTCAAAATACACTGAATTTTGTCTATTATTTCACACAAACTCTTCATTGCATTTAATTTACTCTTCGTTTCAATCAACGAAACACTCATTAATTTTGAACACATTTTTAACCATAAAATTAAACACAAATAAAATGTAATTTTTATTTACATCTAAATATCAATTGAACTGAAATCTCAAAAATATTTATTATAAAATGGTTGAAAAACTTACATCCTTTACAACACATGCTTTCTATGTTTAATAAATACCAGTTTAACAACTTTAATACCATGTTTTCATTTGTTATATTCTGGTTTTAGTATAACCAATCATATTAAAGGGTTTTAATGGTTACCAAATAATATAAATATACAGTGCAACTTGTATTTTGCAATTAAAACTTTTATTCAAAATCCTATTTACAAATAATAATCCCTCCAAAAGCCATCACAAGTTCTATGAAAGGGATTATCCAATACTCGGCTTGTATTGAATGGATTCAAGTTTTTGATATTAATTGTATTGTTTGACAAAAACTTTGGCCAATTGTTGTCCGGTTTGCTTAGAGAGAACGCAATCATAATATGAAACTAAAATTAATACATAAATTACAAAATACAACATTTATTTACCCATATTTCGCGAAATCGGTCCACAATTTCATAACATAACGGCTGAACACAAAGTCTTCGGCCGTAAAAAAGGCGGGCATTAGATATGGTATACCGAAGACGTAGAAGATATCAATGGCGTGACAAATACCCATAGTTTCCTGATCACAACCAATGACCTGGGACATATCTGAATTGGCATAAGTAAATTCATAGAAATATACATTTCCATCATTTTGGGCAACATTTCGGGCAAATTGTTGGCCGAATAGATATGTCGGACAATTCATGAGCACATCTCCCGCATAGCGATAGAAAGCCCACTGAAGTGCTGTTTCGTCGGTAGTGTTGACACCTTTGAGGTAAAAGTCGGTCACTTTGTCGACGTCTATACCGCGAACGCCGAGTGTTTCAGATTTGTTGACACATTGTTTAAATCTATCGACTGTTATGTTATGGATGTGTCCCATAAACCACTCGGTTAATAATGAGCCCTCATCTCTGGTCACACCAACCATTAAATCTATGTCTAAATAATTATATGATTTTAATTATACACCTATCTCTCTCTCTCTCTCATACCTGAATAAAATTGTTTGCTTTGAAATGCTTTTTGAGCGGAAATTAGTGCAAAACTTTTATCAATCACTGGAAGCATAAATTCGGGTTGAATTTTGAGAAACTCTATGGCGTCCACACCTCTCAGGCATTGCAACCAATCCTTACATTCACTACAATTCAATTGTTTGGCCGTATTTTTGGCCATAACTAGTGCTTCAGATTTAGTGATCGTTTCCATCAATTTTCCCAAAAAAACAGACCCGCTTTGCATAATAGCCCTCTTGAATAGGCCTTTGGATAGCGGGGAGAGTATGTGTGCGGACACCGACCAACTCAATCACTTTTCCCAACATAACAGACCCGCTCTGCATAATAGCCCTCTTGAATAGGCCTTTGGATAGAGGGGAGAGTATGTGTGCGGACACCGACCAACTCCCGGCGCTCTCACCAAAAATGGTGATCTGATTCCTATCTCCGCCAAACAAATGGATATTTTCTCTAACCTATTATTACAATATTCATTCACACATTATTTTTAACAATGATTAAGTTTAGAAAATAGTGATACAACAAGCGATCAATTGATACCCATTTGAGAGCCAATAACTGGTCATAAAAGCCTACATTTCCGGGCGCGTCCTCCCGATCCCCGTATAGAAAGCCCAACTGTCCTAATCTATAATTAGCGGCAACAAAAACCACATCGTGTGCGGCCAAAAAACTACCATTATACGTATTTATTGACCCAAATACGAGAGCTCCGCCATATATCCAAAACATAACGGGTTTGAGGTGTGATTTGTTTGTGTTATTATTTCTCGCATTTGGTGTCCATATGTTTAATACCAAACAGTCTTCACTTACGGCTATATTTCCCCCCACTTGTACGCAAGCCTTACCACGTTTTGTATCATTGATAACATACTTAATAATTAAATATATATTTAGTTTAATTTAATTGATATTTTTAATAAAAATTCATTTTTAAATTCAATATACATTTAAAGGTTGTTTGAGAGGCACAGGCGGTGCGAACCGTAGGTTTCCGATCGGGGGCTCAGCGTATGGTATATTCAAATACTGGTTAACAGTTTTGTTGAGCACATGTAGTGTCCGACCTCTCACTACACCCGATGTTGTCTTCACATCAATACATATAATACAACTCAAACATAATAACGACACAAATAAAATTAAATATCTTTTATTATAAAATATATTCATTTTATTATCAGCTAATTTAAAATTTATGTATTTTCTATACAAATACTTTAATTCAACTAGTTTGGAATGATTAAACATAAAGTTAATATAATAGTTAGTAAGTGTATTTTTCATTATATATTGCGTTATATAATTAACAATGGTTTATAATGTTTGCTATTTAACTATAATATAGTGTATGTGTACACATATTATGTGTAAATATTATTTATAATATACTGTAAATGAAGTTTAATAATTAAATGCTTTTGAATAAATATAAACTTATAAACAAAAAAAGCTTTTTATTGTAAAATTAAAATCTGTTTACTTTTAAAATATATAAGTTTAATTAATGATATAATTCACATTTGCATTATCCATTTGTAAATGTAATTATTTAATTGATAATTAATAAAACATGTATTAAAATAATATATCTGTATAATAAATTATTATTCAATTTATAAAAATAATAATTGCCGAATATACATAAGTTGTAGAAATAAACTTTACATTTAAATAAGTTTTGTTTTATACTACTATTTAAATAATTTATAATATTTACAATACACAAGCAAATGGTTTTTCTCCCGAACGAATGAATTAGTACTGAAATAGATGTGATTTGCAAATATTTAAATAATTGCATTACAATGAAAGTGATTAACATGTCTACGCAATTCATGCATTGCTGCAAACATTTTGTCGCAACTATTTTGAACACATTTAAAACTTTTTATTTTTAAATGTCTTTTCATGTGATCTTTTAGATGAAATTGTAATGTAAAGCTTTTGTTACAATCATTGAAATAACAAACAAATGGGTTTTTTCCCGAATGTATGCGTTTGTGTTGAATTAGTTTTTGTTTTGTGGTGAAATTTTTGTCGCAATTATTTTCATTACATTTGAATTTCCTTTCATTCAAATGAACACAACTTTTGTGTTGAATTAAATGTTGTTTTGTTGTAAAACTTTTGTGGCATTCATTGAAATCACAAACAAATCTCACATTTAAATGAATAGCATTTTTGTGTTGAATTAAACCTTCATTTTGTGCGTATTGTTTATTACAATTATTAAAATCACATTTAAATTGTCTGATTTCTGAGTGAATTAATTGATGTCGAGTCAATTCCCATTTCGTTGATGTCTTGTATTGACATTTAGGCCAAAAACAGTGGAAATAATCATCAGATTTAGTAATGATATGACAATAGTTTAGCATTTTATCACTGATTTTACAT